TCATAGTAGGGATTGATTACTTCACCAAATGGGTGGAAGCCGAACCCCTGGCCAGTATCACGGATTTTCAATGTCAACGTTTTGTTTGGCAGAATATTATATGCAGATTCGGGCTGCCCGAGCAGGTCATCACGGATAATGGACGACAGTTTGTGAGCAAGAACTTCGAGGAATTCCTCACTAGATGGGGAATCAAGCACTCAAGGGCTTCCGTAGCATATCCACAGGCGAACGGGCAGGTAGAGAACATGAACAGAACCATCATGGATGGTATAAAAAAGAAGCTCGAAGATTACGCATCAACCTGGCCCGAACAGTTAAACTACGTCTTGTGGACATACAGGACAACTCCCCGAACAGCAACCGGAGAGACACCGTTCGCCCTCGCTTATGGATTCCAGGCTAAGGTCCCAACTGAGGTCTTGGTGCCCACTCACAGAACCATCCACTATGATCCTGAGCAGAATGAGGACAATCTGCGTGCTGAACTCCACTTCATAGAAGAAAGAAGGGATCTCTCAGCTTTACGAATGGAGGAATATCACCGGGCAACTAAGAGGTATGTGGATAAACAGGCTAAAATCCGTTCGATCGAAGTCGGAGACCTTGTCCTGAGGAATAGAGAAAAAAGCAAACCGCTAGAGGGCGGGAAGATGTCAAAGAATTGGGAGGGACCATACAGGATCTGGAAAAAATACCGGACGGGGACCTTTTCACTACAGGATACCGAAGGCCGTCCGGCAGGGATATGGAACGCTACGCATTTGCGGAAATTTTATCAATAAAAAACGGCTGTTGCCACCTCTGACAAAAAAAAAAAAAAAAAAAAAAAAAAAAAAGGAGGGAGAACAATGTTTCCAACGAGGCCAGAGTTAAGAGGAATATTGCGAGCCGAACGGTATCAACATGCCGAACGGCATCACCACAAACTCGGCCAAAAGTCTCACCTTGATCTATAGATATCATTTATCTCGATCCATGGGGAGCCATCATCTCAGCACAAAAAAAAAAAAAAAAAAAAAAAAAATGTGCAGGATACCAAGCCCGGACTCGGCTTGGGAGATGGTGTAAAAGATCTTGAGTAGGACGAACCGGGCGGCATCCGAAGTCATAGGGTGACCGAGCGGGGGATCGGGACTCTGGTCTTAAAATCTTGCCTTGGGCATACAGCTCGTCTGAACTTTATGGTGGTGGAACCCGAGCTGTATCCTGGAGGCGAGTCTCCATTTTGGCAGAGAATAAGGGGGAGACCCGAATTGGGAGCCTTATTCTCAACGGTCCAGGATGGACATCTCAACCTCATGATATGGATGACCCCGGACGGTAAAACCGACGGTATGCATCGAAATTATGGGCTTGGAAGATGGCAGACACTACACGAATTGTGAAATTGTCTTGCAGCAAGAGGTGATTGCCTTGCGAATAAAGAATACCGCGGAAGATAACCCGAACAGGTTACTCTAGCCTTCAGGGAACAACCAGTCGACGGTAATAAAACCGGACGGCGTGCATCTGAAACATGGTGCTCGGAGGCGCAGCAAACATTTAACATTGATGACTTGCGCGTTCAAGGAACAACCAGTCGACGGTAATAAACCGGACGGCATGCATCTGAAACATGGTGCTCGGGGACGCAGCAGGCGTTCAGGAAATAAAGAACAACAGACGGAAATAAATCGAACAGCTTGCACCTCAACTTTGATGTTAGGGAAGGGTCGAACAGCTTACATCTCAATCATGAGGCTGAGTTGAATAAAAAAAAAAAAAAAAAAAAAAAAAAAAAAAAAAAAAGCAAGTCATTCGGAAACGGATCAATCTTTATTCTTCGGCACTACTGACCGGGAATTATACATGAGAAGAAGAAAAGGAGATTACAACAGAGATAACTAAGCTACGGGAGGATCCTTGTTCGGCACGGCATCCGAGTTGGGGTTCGGGGGATTGGCTGAATCTTTAGCCTTCTGCCTCTTCTCCATCACCCGTTGATAAGCACGGCAGAATAAGGGGTCGAAACCTTCCTCCTTGGGGTCGAAGGGTTCATCGAATGATTCCTTGATCACTTCCAGATTCCGGTCGACCAACATATCCTGGCACTTAACAAGTGTGTCCCTTGCTAGGGCATTGGCGAAGGCTGTCCCGGACGGGGTCTCATCCAGGAGCTGGAGGCCGTCACGAAGAGGATCCTTGCTCTTTTTCAAGAACTCCCCAAGATGCTTTCCAAGGAACTCCCGGGCAGTCTCCTCCAGGGCTACGTTCAAACCTTTACCCCTTTGGAAATCAATCACTGCCTGCTGAGTGATTCTAGAAATATCGGCCTGAACGGGTGCTGCTGGCTGTCCGCCCTCTTTAGGCTGGGTCTTTTTAAACTTAACACCAGCAGCTTCGGCAGCAGCAATCTTGTCCTTCAGCGCCCGGATCTCCCGATCGCGACGCTGGAGCCTCTGCTCCAATTCGGCCAATTCAGCCCTGGCCTTGTCACCCTTGTTGGCTCGATCTTGGAGATCGGCAGCCATTTTCCTAGCAGCAGCCAAAAGGGTTTGGCTCTCGTCCAGCTCCTGATGAAGGAGGGTCATCTCCCGTTCAGCTGCTAGGAAGGCCCGGTGATAGTATGTACCGGCCTGTGGAAAAAGAAACAGCAGTAAGAACAAGTTCAAAAAATGTTATAAAAAGAAAGAACTGAACGGTCAAAGGCATACCTTAAGGGACTCAGCATGGCCTGCTTCGACCAAATCAGACCAATGGGTCAAGTTGGTGAAGCCCTCGCCAGCTTTCAAAGAAGTGCTGCACCACATGGAGGATGCAGTCTGCCCGAACAGCGTCCGGCATTCGGCTCGGGGACCCATGGCGGAAAACTCCACCGTCAACCGATCGGGGATCGGGAGACTACCTGAAGCAACGCCTCCCCTGTCGCCCAGCTTCCTTGAAGGGGAGGGGACCATGGGCATCCTTTCCACAGAAGGATCCGTCAGGTCAATGACCTGGTCAATCGGGACCAAGGCGCCGCTGCTTTCGATTCTCGGCCGCTTGTTTACTGGCCCAGATTCCCGGCCAGCCAAAGAACCTGACTGAATAGCCTTCTCCTTTCCCTTGCTAACTATGGCGGTGGAGGAAGGAGTAGGAGCAGGACGCTTTATGGAGACGGGGGGAATCACACCTACAGGAAAGAACAAAGAAAAATGAACAAGAGGTTGAAAAATACACCGAACGAACAAAGTAAGGGAAGAAACATACCAATGCCAGCAGCTAGCATCTTAGCAGGAGTCAAGAAGGACCGTAGGTTCTTGGAACCGGCCAGACGGAGCCTTTCGTACTGACAGACAATATCTGCGTCCACCTTTGGGGAGGCATCCTGAACGGGGTAGGTGTTCCACCGATCAGGGAAAGGAAGCGGCGACCCCACATGAACGAACAAAAATCGTTCTTCCCATTTCCCCGGCGGGGTGGGGTTGTCGGTGAAGAGCGAACGGCCAGGGCGGGCGACAAGCCGCAGGTACCCGGTGGTCCAATAGGGCTGGACGCCGTAGCAGTGCAAAAAGAGGTCGGCGCTAGGGACAATCCCCAACTCATGGCACCAGACGATAAAACCGTTCAGGATCCTATAGGTGCTAGGCACAAACTGTGCTGGCAGTACTGAGACCCGGCGAAGGAACTCCACAATAAAAGGGTGCAACGGGAACCGTAGACCGGCGATCAGCGCGTCCATGTGAACCAGCACACATCCCGGACGATGCCGCATGGGATGCTTAATATACCCCGCATAAAACTGACGGGGTGGAGGTAATAGTTGGCGGAGCATCTGTTCGGCATCTGCAGGAAGGCGTTGACGCTGTTTCCTGATGCAGTGGAAGTTCAGACTATAGCGAGGGGGGCGTTCAGGCATACCCCTTTCGTAAACGACAAGGTCATCCCCCGACTGACATCCATCATCAGGGAGGGGCTGTTCGGGATGAAGTGAGGAAGAAGACCCGTTAGAACCCGACGATCGGGTAGATGTGCCTTGATCTTTGGGGTGAGCTTTTCCCCTCGAATGGCGAATCAGAGTGGACACCATCTCTTCGGAATCTGACGAACCAGAAAAGGCAGACATAAAATAACAGAGAAGATTCTAGAGAGAGAAAGCTTGAAGGAATTCAGAAGCAGCAGAAAAAACTGAAACAAAGTAGCTACATCCTTATATAAGGAAATGCTACCGCCAAGAATCCAAATGAATAACTGACAAGTGTCAAGACGGTTGGGAGAAGTTAAAGCATCCTTTGGGATAAGAGAACACCCGAACGGGTTGAAGTCAACAAAGTTCACGAACCTCTACAATTGAAAAAGAAAAAGGCTACAAGTGTTTCCCCGAACGGGATACACCCAAATGTAATGAAGAATGATCGGTGTACCCGAACAGTATGGTTAGCTTACATGGAAAAATCTGGTAGATGCAACGAAGAAGGTAACACTACATCCCGAATGCTGAACACAATTACCAACTAGTTAAAAAAAAAAAAAAAAAAAAAAAAAAAAAAAAAAAAAAAAAGATGGTTGTACCCAGTACAGGAGTTTATACCCCGAACAGATGGGGAGGAAAAAAAAAAAAAAAAAAAAAAAAAAAAAAAAAAAAAAAAAACATAGTACCCAGTACAGGATGGTTGTACCCAGTACAGGAGTTTATACCCCGAACAGAGGAAGAAACATAGTTTATACTCCATAATGAACTATGGAGTTCATTATGAATGATATCGAATAAACAGGTCGATCAATATTAAAATCCTAAATTCTGGACTTAGCGAAGGGGTGACGCAAACCGGAGACCTGATCGCTTCATAAGTATAGACTGAACGGGTTCATTATACGCAACATGTGTTAACAAGATTATCAAGTCTTGAATTCTGGATTTAACAAGGAATTCACCCGAACAGGTGACCTGATCGCTTCAGATTACGGAGATCAACAAAGCAACATGAAACGTATTACAGAGGCAAATTGATAGGTGAAAAACAAATATGAAGTACAGTAAAAGTCACAAAGACGAGATGAGCAGGCAAAAATTGTATATTCATCGGCTCTACTGGCCGGAAAGTACAAAAACTACTGATTCAAAGGAAAGGAAATACAGATAATGTCTAATCTACTGTTCGGGATGATCTTCACCCTCTTCATCATCTTCTTCATCATCAGCTTCGTCAACAATTTGCACCACATCCATCCCCAGGGCTCGCCGGCACTTTTTCATCTGAGCCATCAGGGCGTTCAGATGATCGGGATGAAGATCAGCGGGAAAGTCAGAGGGTTGCACCGCTCGGCCCATATGTTTTTCTATGAGGGGGAGGAGAGGCTGAAGCATATGTTGACAACCTGAGCTGTAGACCCCGCGGGCGAAGTTTTCAGCCCACTCCTTGGTGACAGAATGCTGATCAAGCACCCTGATCCCCTCCTTCTGGCGCTCGTCTCCGGCCAGTTTCTCCAAGTGCCTCCCGAAAACAGCAGGGAGCTGTTCGGTGGCGTATTCTTCCTTGAGAGCCAGAAACTCCTCGGAAGCTTTGAATTGATCCCGAACGGCAGATAGATCAACTAACATTTCAGCCGGGCCGTCCGGGATTTGAGGAGGGGCCTCAGAAAACTTGACCTGAGCGGCCTCAGCTGCCGCGATCTTGGCCTGGAGAGAGCCCACCATGACACGAAGCTCCCCAGCCTCAGCTTCTAGCTTCCTCCGCTCCTCGGCAAAAGCCCGGCGTTCGGCCTCTGATGCCTGTTCAGCCGTTTCCTTGGCCATCAGCAGCCCTTGTTCCTTGGCCTGCCTGGCCTCTCTGAGTTTCAGGCTGTAGATCCCTACCTGTTGATCGAGTACAAATAAGAAATGAGAACCTGGTAAATTAATGAACAACCGAAAAAAAAGAGGGGTGATAAGAAGTTACCTTCAGGGCAGCCAAGGCAATAGACTCTTCGGCCTCCTCGACTGGCATCGGAGGAAGGTTATGCCCATTAAGGAAGCCCGATGTGGACCAAATCTGGCTTGCTGGACAGCCTCCCCTCTCCAGCATTCCATGAGCGGGATCTTGAAGGGAGATCTGCTCAAACTGGCTCGCCAAATCAGCCTGGTTGGCGGCCAGTTCCTCAGCGGAAAAGTGGTGAGGCTGCTGATCGGAGAAGAGCTGATCCATCAGCATATCAGCATGTGAAGATTGCTGTTCAAGGGCAACCTGCTGCACAGGTTCTACATCCCGAACAGGTTCAGACTGCTCGGGGACGACGGGGGCGGATTGGGAGGATGTCCCCTGATCGGCCTTCCTCAACCTCTTCCTCTTTGTCTTCCTCTGCTGCTTGGGAGGAGAGGTTGGTGGCTCGTCATCAAATCCAACAGTGAAAAGCCTGCTGTCATCCATAGCCGGTTGTTCGGGATTGGCTCCTTCGGAGTCTGAAGATTCGCCTTGCTTTAGAGCTGAAAAGATAACAAAGGAACAAGTTAGTACCGAGCGGTTCACACGTGGATTTATAGTACTATCACACGGGAAGGACCGCCCTGGCCATGGTACTTGGTTTTCAGTCAAGTAGGTCCAGGAATACGGGCAGTACCTATCCCGGCCCTAATTAGCCGTTCGGGAGTCAGGTAAGACATGATTTTGAAACAGCCTCCTGCCTCCACAGCAATGACATCTTGGCTAAGCTCCTCAGAGATGAATGGCTCGGGGGATTTAGGAGGAAATGCGTTCCACTTCCTAGGAATCAAACCGTTCGGGACAGAGACAAAGAAAAACCTATCTTTCCAACCCTTAATGGAAGAAGGGGCATCACAGAACAAAATATGTCCTGGACGGGAGCTTACCACTAGGAAGCCGTGGGACTGCTGAGGGATAACCGAAAAGAAATAGTGGAAAAGCTCTAGAGTGGGTGTGACCTCGACACTGTGACAACGACAAATGAAACCAGCTATCGACCGGTAGGAGTTCGGCATTATTTGGGCTGGTACTACATTGTAAAAATTTAAAAGGGAGACAAAAAAGGGGTGAAGTGGGAATCTAAGGCCGGCCTTGACTGAGTCGAAATGGACCACAACCATCCCTGGGAAGTGGCGCATTGGGTGAAGACCCGATTGAAGGCGGAAGTCCACCGAATCAGGAATTAGCATCTGAATTTGGGCCCGATTCTGGGCCGTGAGCTTTTGGCGCCTAAACCTAATAAGAGCTAGGTCAAGCTTATGACAGGAAACGCCGCTTGGAGGGCCGGCTTCCATAACCTCCAATTCATCCCCCGATTTGGTGCCATCAGAATAAACATCGGAGGAAGAGGAATCATCGCCGTTAACCTCCGCCGGAATACGGACAACTTGCAGCGTATCATTGGGGTTTTCTTCTGGAATTACAGTGCCGGAGGTAGAGAGTTCAGATGAACGAAGGGGTGCCATTCTCACCGAACGAGGGAACTAAATAGTAGAAGGAAACTCGAAGGATACCTGAACAGAAGCTACGGATGAAGCTCTAGAGGATGAATTATAAGCCGGAGATGCAAAGTTTCGAAACCCAGAATCAAAACCAGAAGAGCCTATTTATACTCTGTCACGCCGATTCAGCTGCCAATCAGAAGAGGACACGTTTTTTGTAATGATGACAGAGACACGTGTCGCACAGAGAATCCTTCTCAAGTAATCATGACGTTTATCGGAGAAGCGAAACGGCAGTTGCAAATAACCGTCAGAACATGCCTCGGGAACCGGCGGAAGTCCATCCGATACTATCAACCGAACAGCATTCGGGCAATAATCTTCTACTTCCTTATGCGCTCACTACCGTTCGAGACATAGGAAGTGGGGGACTAGTGTTGGGATATTGGGTCCAGGCCCAATATCCCTAGGCCCAAATCCGGGGAGAAGCAGCAAGCCCAAAGAGCTCCCGAACGGCATTCGGGATAAAACTTATACTTGGAACATTCTGGGTAACGATTATGCCAAGGTATCAAGGCCCAAATATCGATCGGCGTTCGGGATACTTCAGGTAGAAATTATCACCTATGGCGGGGTCCCACACACCGAACACCTTGACCGAACGGGCAATCAGCAAGTGGAGGCCGCATTTAATGCTGGATCATGGCGGCAACAAGTGGGGGCATGGGTGCTTACATGGCAGAGGTGATAGCCTACCAGATTCGACCACGTGTCCACCTTACCCATCCCCATTTTAGTATAAATACCCATGTTTAGATCATTGTAAAGGGTTAGCATTTTAATACTCAGAGCTTAGCAATAGATTTACATCTCCCATCCTTGTAATCTCATATTCATCTACCGTTCGGGTAGTTTCAGTGTAATTGCTTAATTACAGAATATAAGTAAGTTCTTGAGTTGGATATCATTTCACTATTTTATATTTTACACACATTTCAATCAACCCTACCCAATATCCCTACAATATCCAAGGCTTGTGTTGGGCTTTCGGATCTTCGGGAATAAACCTCAACAGTGACAAATGTAACAAACTAACAACTAGTTAAATAAAATGTGAAGTATTTTAATTAGTATAATGAAAAATGTAACAAGAATGCTAATTAACTAATTAACTAGTATAATGAAAAATGTTACAATAATGGTAATGAACTAATTAACTAGTATAATGAAAAATGTAACAAGAATGCTAATTAACTAATTAACTAGTATAATACTAGTTATAGTAAGTAATATATAATATAATGTTTATATTATATAATATATAAGTAAACTACTATAAGATGAGTAATACACTTATATTTTATACTTTAATATATAAAATATATATTAAGTAGCTAGATGTAGAATGTATGTATTAAGTGGATATAATAATTGTATAAGAATTAAATATTAGAGTATAATGGAGAATTGGAGATTGGAAAATAAGTATATATAAAATATAAGTAGAGAAGTAGATATTATTATGTATTAAGTATATAGTAATAGTTTATAAAGTATATTTAATACTTTATTATATAAAGTATATATTAAGTAGATATAGTATGTATGTATGTATTAAGAGATATAAGTAGAGATTAAGTAGATAAGAAATATAAGTAATATAGTATATGTAGATAATAATATATAAGTAGATAATTAATATATATAAGTAGATATAATAATTGTATAAGTATTAAATAGTAAAATAAAATATAAAGGAGAATAAGAGAATTTGAGAAGATGAATATGGAGATGAGTAGAGAGTAGGATTTAGGTAGAGTTGGAGAAGAGGTGTGAAAAAATGTTTAAAATTAGGAGTATTTATAGGTTTTTTTTTTAACCCCAACCCCCACCCCACCCCCCCACCCAAAGACCCCTGACCCCCCCCCCCCCCCCCTGGTACCACCCAACGGCTATATAGCCGTTTGGGTGACCGTTGAGCCACCAAAAGAAGCAAAAAAAAAAAAAAAAAAAAAATTTAAATTTGGACCGTTAGGCCCGGGCCCGGGCCCGACCCGGCCGGGCCGGGCCTCCAAAATCAGGACCCGAGCCCGGTCCCGCTTACCCGACCGGGTCTGTGCCCGAACCGGACCCGGACCCGAGAACCGGGCCGGTTCCGGGCCCGCACAGTGGCGGGCCGGGCCGGTCCCGGGCCGGGCGGCCCGAACCGGGTCCACGCCTACTATTAGATAGTCGTTCCCGGGAATCCCGGCTTCGTAGACCGGGATAAACATGTCTTTGGAATAACACTGATTATTTATTTTTAAATATCTTTAGGCTTCAATGGGTATGCCATCTAAATCTGAAAAAAATGATGAAACTATATCCACATTTAGTGTGGTCATTTTTTTATTTGGAGGTTTGGAGAATTGGAGGTCTCCTTTAGGCGTGGACCCTGTTCGGGCCGCCCGGCCCGGGACCGGCCCGGCCCGCCACTGTGCGGGCCCGGAACCGGCCCGGTTCTCGGGTCCGGGTCCGGTTCGGGCACAGACCCGGTCGGGTAAGCGGGACCGGGCTCGGGTCCTGATTTTGGAGGCCCGGCCCGGCCGGGTCGGGCCCGGGCCCGGGCCTAACGGTCCAAATTTAAAAAAAAAAAAAAAAATTTTTTTGCTTCTTTTGGTGGCTCAACGGTCACCCAAACGGCTATATAGCCGATGGGTGGTACCGGGGGGGGGGTCAGGGGGCTTTGGGTGGGGGGTGGGGTGGGGGTTGGGGTTAAAAAAAAACCTATAAATACTCCTAATTTTAAAC